CTTTCACTCACACACACACACACACACACACACACACACACACACACACACACACACGAGACACCTCCTCCAGCAGCCCTGAGCGATGCCCTCTTTACAGAGATAATTACATTGCTTTGACTCTATAACAGCTGTGGCCTCCTGAAGAGGTAAATGGCTCTTATAAATCTGCCTCTTCTCTAGAGAAACACACACACACACGCACACATAGTGGCAGTAACAGGGGCAGCTGAGCAGCATGAGCTTTCAGTACACCCAGTTTGAGAATCTATTTGTGGTGGTGTAAGCCCTGAAATCTGACAGCTGATAGACGTCTGAGAAACAGCAACACAGTTATAAAGTAACAGCAAATCACTTTGAAATAGCAGAAAGAAGCCAGGGATATTTCTAGAGCTGTGGTCATTAAGGCATTGTGACAAATAGTAACTATGGGGAGATGACGTGCCAGGATGCTGTGTAGCTATGGGTAGCATTTGCAGTCCTACAATTCTTTTTTACTCAGTGTTTCTGCTTATACCGTAGTAACATCGCTGTCCTAAGTGCAATGTTCAGGATTTAAAGGAAACGCTGATGTAGTCACAGAGAAAGAGGCTACCGTTGGTCCTGTCAAACAAAAACAGCCCCAGGCGGGTCATTAATACAATGAACAATTAAAACTGTTTCTGTTTAAATTGATGATGAAGTATCTCTAACTCTGATAGACTGCTATTGCTATCCTTTACATTCATTTGGATGGTTTAACAGGGCAAAAGCCTATTCGGTGGTGGAGGTGTGATGATTTAAGCTTGTGGTTTTATGCGTAGGCACCTTGCAGTTATTAAGTCGATCATGAACCCTTTTGTACACTGTAATATTCTAGAGTCAAATGTGAGGCCATCTGTATGACAGATAAAGCTTGTCCCAAACTGACAAGTTCTCATCTCTTCTTTGGGCTCCTAGTGTCAAAGTGTAAGCATTGCCTCTACAAGGACACAAAAAGAGCTCTAAAAGTTTAGTTGCGTTAAGGAATTAGTGATATATCTCGGTGTGTCCATCTCCATGAGTAGTTTCTGCTGTATAGTTATTTCAATGACTTAGTCGCAGAAAAAGCCAGGCTACTTTTAACATGTATAGAGTTGTACATGTAGAGTCTTCAGTGGAACACATCAGCCCCAATTTGTTTTATCTCTCTGCCCCTTACCAAGGCACAATTATCCTTTCCACTTCAGTTTGATCAGTCTAGTTGATTAATATGGTCTTTTTTCAAAAGCCTTTGATGTGAATGGATCAGCTCTTCATTAATTAATAACTCATAGTATCACTAGTTTGTTTTTTTTAAATTTGGGAACCCACCAAGGGTCTGTATCCTTATTACACTCATTTCTTTGTGTCTGAAGCATTTAGTGGAAATGAGAGTTTAAAATCAAAAGAAGGCCTTTTGTCGCTGTACCCGTGGGCACAGCAGAGTTATCACAAAGTGCTTTCATGTCTTTTTACAGCAAAGTGATGTGGAGATGTAAGAAGAGCTTCTGCTGCTGGCTTTTGTCTGATAGTCAAGGATGTTGTGGGCGAGTCTATGAAGAGCTTCTGCTGCTTTGTTCATATTAAACTGCTGCATTTTGGAGAAAAAAAACATTACTTTGCTCAGCGCTTTAAGGCAATGTTGGTGGTATTTTTAAACTGTTCTTTCTGAAGCTAAAGGGACAGTTCCAAAAATGCACTCTATGTATTTTCCATCTCACTCAGTTGCACTAAAATCCTACCTTCGATTTAGCCATGGAGCACGAGTCTAGGTTTTACATAGTAGGCGAGTCAGTAGGCACATTTCTTGTCTGCACTGCTTTCCTTTATTTTTGCAGAGGTTGGTTTTGCAAAAATGTTTTTGCGAGATATTAAAAAACCCCTTGTTGAACAAAAGTGTAACACCATCTAAATTGACTAAGGCAACAGAACTTCAAAAAATGAAATGCTATAGTTTAATAAGCCTTATGTATATTGTTCTGAAAAGTGGCTGACTGAAGTTGAAATAGGGTTGATATTATGTAAGCTAGTGTTAGCTCAACGTTTCTGCAAATCGTACTTGGCTCACCTCTTTTTGTGGCTACTAGAGCACAGATTTATTCATTTAAAATCATCTTTCAAGATAGCAACATTAAATAATTTTATATGCAGATAGAAGAATTCTACCTTGTGATAAAAATAAATTGTACAAAGTAACTTTACAAAAAGCGAAAATTTAGCTTTTAGGCCACATTACTTACTAGTAGCAAAATTTACCTGAGTTTCCAATCAGTTTGTTAATAGTTCAGTTCCATCTTTTCTTAGATGTCATGCTAACATTAAACTACATTGGGTGAAGATAATAAAAGATAATAAAAATATAGCTTTGCTCCTTAAGTGTATATATTGACCAACTTAATTGACCTATACCAATTATTAGCACCCGCCTATATATTAACCAATATTATCTATTTGTTGATTTATTGGGACCAACATTTATAATGGCCAATAACTAAAAGTAAAGAAGCAATGGGAGAAACACCCTTCAACCATATTATGAGTGTTGATGTTGCATAGTTTTCTATCAGAGGGCGCTATTCTGTATTGGAAACACGTTTACAAGTCCATGAACACAAGCATAGTTGAACATAGTGTAAATCAGTAGTCAACAACTTTTGATAGTAAAACAAACTTTATTTTAAAAATGCATATATTAATTAAAACGGTCTTAAATTCTTAAATAACTGCACATAAACAAATTTTAGGGAAATCTGTTTTTATGTGTCTGAATGAAAAAAGCGTTGCCCAGTATATCAGATTTTTAAATGACCAAAACTTGGTGATTTAAAATCAGTCTTAACAATCGTCATATAATGAAAATTAGCAAAATTTAACTGGAAACTCTGCCTATACTCACATGGCCTTAGGAAAATGGACTGCTTGCCAACAAGCTCAACAGTTTTAAAGGGTTTCAGTGTAACAAACCGTGCCTTTGCTGAGTCTTGTTGTTGGTTTATTAACCAATGCATGCTGCAGTAGGTTCAGCATATACATATAACTAATAAAACAAAAAACCTTCCGATACCTCTGAACACACTTACTATCTTATTATATCTAGTTTGTTCAACCAGTGCACAAAGAAATACAAGCAGGTGCTGGAATTTTTTCCTTTTATCTCTGGCTATGGTGCTGCTTGAAAGTTGGAGTTTGTCAGAGTTGGTTTTTGGTTCTGATGCGTGTTTAGGTTAGGGTGTCGCCAAACTTGGAAATCTCATTGTTGCAGCATGTTGACAAAATATGGCAGTAAAAATACCAAGGTAGCCCTTAAAGCACAAATGACTATTTGTGTCTCTCTGATGGAAGCATGGATTAAACTAGAGTGTTGAAAGATGTTTAAATTTACTGAAGCGCCTTGAGGCGACTGTTGTTGTGATTTGGCGCTATATAAATAAAATTGAATTGAATTGAAGATTCACATTTCTCCCTCTTTTTGTCTTTCTGCAGGAAATTGATATTGCTCCTGACTGCAACCATGTGAGTATTTGTTTTAAAACACACAAATTCACGCAGAACCTTTTAATCAAACAGTACAAGTGTGAGACAAAGAAAGATATAACAGAGGCCTGCCTTCATACTCGGCTAATACTGTCAGGCCAAATCAAAATTTTAACCAAGTCTGTTTGGCTTAAAGTTAACTCACCAAGAAATCAAATGTGATAATTAGCCTTTTAGATATGCAGGGTGGTACATACCTGTCCTGCTTGGACTGCTGGAATTATTTCACTGCATCTGACAGATTTTTAAGTCAAAGTTACTGTTATTTGCCCCTGCTGTTAAAGAATTTAAACCAAACATACTGAAATATGTAATTTCAAAGGTTGACAGAACATCCTAACACACACAGAGATCAACTTTTCACTGTTAGTTTCACAACTTACTGTTGAGCTGTGATGTACCAACTGCTGAAAAGTTTACACTTAAATTTTTGGCTGAGTTTACGAACCTTTGTCACCTGAGGACTCTTTTCCATCCATGTCTTGTGATCACTGCGTTATGCCTTTAATTTATTCATAACAAATATTTGTAACATTTATGTCATCCCCAACTACTGCAGATATAATTGGTTTTAGTTTTGTCCTATTTGCTTATCTCTATACTTTTCTGTATGCTCTTTCCTCTCACTCCTAATCAGTCATGGTAGAGGTCTGCCCCTGCCTGAACCTGATTCTGGAGATCTCTTCCTGATAAATGGAAGTTCTTCCTCACCACTGTAGCCAATTGTTTTCCTTATAGGGGATCATTGTAGTTCTCTCTCTAATATTTTAGAGGTTTTACCTTACAATATAAAGTGCAATGAGATGACTGCTTGCATGAAATATATTTATATAATATTAAAATGCATACAAAGGAGTGAACATGGTAAACGTTCTGCATGCAAGTATGTTAGTATGTTTATTGACTCAGGGCCACAACCACTACTGTAAACTGGATTATATTATCTTAGAAATATGTCTTAGTGCCATAAATAGTAAACAAGTAGAAATGTAGAATCTAATACAATATCTGTCTAAAAAGCAGTCTGTGCATACTAATTCAATTCAGTATATTTTTTGGAGCAGTGTCACAGACCTGCATATTTTAATGCACTGTACAATTGGAGAGATTATTGGGAACATTTAGAGAATTTAAAATAAAGCAGTCTAATTATCAGCGACCGCTAACCATGAATAAACCTAAGATCCTCTCTTCTCTGTTTAACAAGGTCCTTTCACATTTTTTTCCCACTCTAAATACTAGCTTTGAAGAACCCACAGCTTCCACACAGCCAGCTGATGACCGTCACTGACATCAACGCCATCTAACTTTAAATTAGGAGTTTCTCCTCCTTTTGTGTTAAGAGCTTCTGAAAGCTCGTCTGGATGATAAACCTTCAATATTCAGAGTTCAGGGCTGCTAACAGCAGACAGTTTTATGAAACACCGCAAGGCTTATGGAGCACTTGGACTGTCTTTATTACAGCATGGAAAGCACTGGCTGCAGTTAACATGTCACACACTCACTTGTTCTATCTTATTTTCTTGGTGGACCGACTTTCAGTAGCTGTTGTTTGTGGATGCTGCAGCTGGAACCCCTCTGATAAGAAAGTGATACACAGAGTATCAGAAAACAATAAAAACAGCACATTGGAAGGTCTTATTTCTGTCATTAAAATCCTTAAAAAAATCATCAGTCTTCAGGATGGGGACTGTCTGATCGTGGGAGGCGTAGTTCTCTCTGAATAAACTATTCTTTTGTAAAATCGTTCAGGATAGATTACTTAGATTTGGACTATTTCAACATCACATTCACAAAAAAACTTTGTGAGTTTAGAAGCTGCTTTCTCAAGAGAAACTTTTAACAGTTGTGCCTCCTCCAAAAATAAAGAAGAGAAATTATCTAATTAAATGCAATGCTTTATACGACCACCACGAACTCTTTGCTACTAGTTGTAGTTAATGAGTTGGCTTTTCTTTAGTCATGTTCACTATGTTTCATTTCTAATTAACATATAAATTGGATTGTAATTGAAATCCTAACTTTTTTTTTTTCCTCAATCAGCTTCTGTGGAACTACAAACTCAATCTAACCACAGATCCAAAGTTTGAATCTGTGGCCATGGAGATTTGTAAGAGCACCATCACTGAGGTCAGTCTGCCTTTGACTCCACAGGGAAGTTCTAGGTCTGTCGTTTGCTCTCCTCTGACCTGTCAAATGTTCCGCACCTTCAGATAAAGGAGTGTAATGAGGTGGAGCGAGGGAGGGGATACCTAGTGTCCTGCCTGGTGGATCACCGTGTTAACATCAGTGAGTACCAGTGTAACCAGTATATCACCAAGATGACCAGCATCATCTTCAGCGACTACAGGTTGATCTGTGGCTTCATGGACAAATGCAAAGAAGATATCAACAGCCTGCGCTGCGGCAGCATCAACATAGGACACAAGGTCAGGACTGTGCAAATATATGCAGAAGTTAATAAATCATAAAATGGAGTCCATAAATCAGGAAAAGTTCATTTACAGGCTTTTCGGGGTAAACCAAAAAAATAATAAGGTGGAGTAACCAGAGGAAACCCACCTCTCCAAGTGGCAAGTGCAGGCTATTTAGTGCTTATTATAATACACAAAATCTCCATTTGTGTATGATATCCTCCTACACAGTCCACAATTGGCACACAAGTACATCTTAGGCCTACAAAGGTTCTTATCAATATTACATATTATATTGTAATCATGTTGCCTAGTAACCCTCAGGAAACGGGCTAAACTAACCCTAAGATTTTTAGCATTTATGCACTCACAACACTTGTTACTGTTATTTTCAAACATATAAATAGTGTCGAGTCTTGTACTGTACCCACGATACATTGTGTCCTGTTAAGTTCCATTTGGTAAAATATAGTTGGAAGTTTTTGCAAATCCCATTAATTTCTTTCTCGTTATATGGAAGAGAAAGTCAACCCACTCTTTGGTCTGCAAGAATTTTGTAAGCCAGCTGGAATCAAACCAGCAACCGTTTGCTTGCCAATGGAATGTGTAAACCACTACATTATGACACCATGCCTATAGATCGTCAGCATATTCAGAGTGTCATCGCCCTCTCTCTCAATCCTTGATGTCTCTTTACAGGACATCCACTCCCAGGGTGAAGTGATCGCTTGTCTCGAGAAGGCGTTAGTGAGGGAGGTGGAGCAACAGGATCGTGCTCATCCAATCAAAGAGGAGTGTCAGAAAGCGATCCTGCGGGTGGCGGAACTTTCCTCGGATGACTTTCACCTCGACAGACACCTTTACTTCTCCTGCCGAGACGACCGCGAGAGGTTCTGCCAGAACGTAAGGAGGCACTACCGCTGCTTGCATGATGTTCATGCTTCCGGTGATCAGACACAAACAGTTAATGCATTCAGAAAATATGGAAATTATACATGAACTGGTTTCTCTTGGTTTCCAAGTGTAGAAACACAAGCTGTGTGGGGCTGGCAAATCC